CCCCCCCAACCCCAACCCGGACCCCCTTCTAAAACCAAGATTATTTTTTTGGCGAAGGCTACTGCAAGGTACCGCATGTGACACAAGATAACACACCCCCTGGAACGATTTTCAAACCTCTATTTATCAACAGCAGAAAGAGCCGCAGCGCCGAACACGGCGGCGTTGAAGCCCTCTGGTCGACAGCTCTCGAAAACGTATCGGTTCGTTTATGCATCCTCTTCGTCGTGGAGTTGTCGAGCTTTGGAAATCGGTCCACAGGTGTGTGATATCTAACGTCGTGCCACCGGCAGGAGTGTAAAATACTCAAGTTGTTCTCTTGCTCTTCCTTGTAAGAATGTTACTGCTTGCTGTGTTCAACGCCTTGATGTCTCAGGCGAATCTCCTGCCGAAGCGAAAGGGCGTGGGATTCGACTTCGACGAACGCCAAACCTACAACTCGAGATCCGACCGCTGGACAAATTCGACGGTGGCCGCTAGGTGAGACTTGTTTGGATTGTTGGTTTGTTTCTCTTGTTGGTTCTTCGGGCGCGTATGCATTCGTTTTTGTTTATTTGCTCGCCGAAAGTTTCTAGTGCGTGCATCAAAGGCAATCAAACAATTGCTGCCGAGGTAACCACACTGTACCCACGTTTGCATCTTGCGGAAACCACCAGCGACGTGTATCAAGGGCAACAAAACTGTCATGTCATTGGTCAGACCAACACGATGTACCGTGCCCATGTCTGCATTTTTAATTTGCTGGCCGAAACCTCGTAGCGACGTACAGTATGATGTATCACGGGCAAAAAACTACCGTACCATTGTTGAGACCGACACCGTGTATTGTACCTTACCCACGTGTGATTCTCATCTCTCGCATAGCTTCGCTGGTTGAGCCAGATCTTCTGCCGAGTGCATACGCTGTACGACCACCGCGAGCAACACGTGCCAGTGCGTGAAGGGTCCAAGCAGAGAAAGTGATCTGCCGAGATTCCTTCCGGGGGGGCCGGGGGATTTCTTTTGTCTTTGATATTCCAAGTTTGCATGCCGTCGTCCCAAGTTTAGTTTGACGAGGCGCACAGGGGCATACAGCAGTTGCAGCCGCCTGCAGTGTCGGAACCTATCGTTACCCTACATGTAGCCCTGAGCCGTCGAGCGTATCGCCGCCGCCGGGGGGAGTGGCATGCGGGACCACAGGTTTCTGATATTGTAGCTGTATAGCAGTGTACCTCGATCGTTGTTGTCTGTGGCTGCTTTTTTACTGTTTTTTTTTCGCAAGAATCTCTTTGCAGCTACGTTGTTTTGCCCAACGGTGTGTTCGTAGGGTACGTACCGAGGCATACCGACGGTATACTATTTCCGCCGGTATATATATATGCCCTGCCGAGCGTCTCGGTACAATCTGTATAGGCTTCATACCCTACCGAAAATCTCGGTGCGCTCGGTGTAGATCTGAATGCAATACCGTACCGACAACACCGGTATTCCGTCGAATATTGAATAATGCCGAGGTGCAGGTACCGGTACCGGTACCGGTATAGCCTTTCATACCCTGCCGAAAATCTTAGTGCACACGGTATAGGCCTCCATACCGTACCGCGAATACCGGTATACCCTTCAAAATTGCCGAGGTACCGGTACAGGTACCGGTTCGAGCTTCCATACGCCACCGAAACTCTCGGTACGCTCGGTAGACCCCCACACCCTGCCGTGATTACCAGTGCCGTACCGAACACACCCTTTCTGAATTTTTGCTTTACAGCATTTTACGATTGTTCTGGGACCACAACATTTCCCTTCCCCCTCTTGCAAGGCCTGCACTCACCGCCTGCCCGCCCGCCCGCACCGGCTTCGTCAAATGTGAGGATCTGCTCCGTTGGTCCCCAGAGTCCACTGCCCCCCCCCCCACCCCTTGCTGAGGCCTACCGTATACGACACAAGATATCACACCCACATAACACCCTTCTTGATGGAAACATAATCTTGCAGATATATCTTGGCATTTTGACCCCAAGCTCTGCTCACAATATATCTCCACCAAGATGTGCAGTATCGCGATTTATGGGGGCAAAATGGAGAATGTTGAAAACGCGGCGTGTTGTTCCTCTCTTCTGCTTGAAGTCGATAGAGGCACAACGGCCACTTGGTCCGCAGAAAATGCCAAAGTGTGGCGAAAAGTGATCATGACGCAGTTGATGAAGGAGCGTCCCTCCCCCAGCTGTATTGCCTCAACAGTATGGTCGGATTCTAGCGATGGGCGCCTGTCTGGGGTGCAAAATCGAAGCCGTTGCCAAAGAGCTCTTGTCAAGCGGACAAACAAAATTGTTCCAAGAGCTCTTATCAAGCGGACAAACAAAACTGTTCCATTGCTGATCAACTGACAAGAGAGTGCATCGACCCGAAGACGATGACACCCGTGCACGTATCTCACTAAGTAGCAGGCGTACCAAGGTCAAACCTCCGGCGCTGTCATCTTCACTCACGGATCTAGCTCGGGTGCAAACGGATTGTGTGTGGGGTGATTCGATGAAAAGATGAAAGCGTCGCACACGACAGAGCTAGCTGTGTTGGCAATACGTTCCATCTCCTCTATTTTTGTACTTTAAAATAAAATATTCTTTGAACGATCCCTCGACAGACTGGTGACGAAGCACGTGGAACGAGCTAGGGCAAATACGCATTTTTTTCGCGCGCCTTGGTCGTTTTCATTCGCTGTCGGCGCCCGACACAGTGATGCCAGGGTGCGTTAGAGACCCTTGGCGAGTGTGCCACGTGCAGATTTCATGGCGTTCTAGGACGATTAGGTTGACTGACCTTCGGTGATTGCGCCGCACCCAGGCAAGGTTTGTGACGCCGCCTCTAGATTTTTCGGAGGGCTCGTTTTAACAGATCTTGGGTCAAGACTTGTTCGAAAGGCCAGATGTCGGGCCTCGAGAAATCTTGGCCAAGATATATCGGAAGGTTTCGCTCCCATTAATCGTGAAACTGACAGATCTTGGCCAAGATCAAGATTGATCGACAAGATTTTGTTCCCATAGATCGGGGTCTAAGATAAGACAACCCCCACAGAATACCACGGCCGGTGCTAATTTTTTTTTATCACTACCAAGAGCCAAAAACACCCCCGGAGGTTAGGCCACATGTATTCACGGAGCCCCCACTATTATCACTCTGGAGATGAAGAAGCGCCAGTGGTCGCTGATCACCCACAGGATGGCTGAGCAGGGAACACACCCGACACACCCTCTTGGTACGGGGCAACCGCCCCGGATGGAGACCTCCAATGACGTGAACGTGTAGGGAGAGCAGAATCTCACTGCAACTACCTCTGCTCGTTCGGCAGCTGTTTCGACCGCAGCAATGGCTCGCCCGATCATATCCTCGTTTTTCCGTCAACACGGGCAAGGTTCTACACCTGCGGCTCCTCTCGCTGCTCCTGCGGCTGCTTCTGTAGCTGCGGCTGACGAAGCTGGCACAGCAACGAGCGCCAATGGGGCAACCACCACGCTGGCTCAGCAGCCAGCTGCTGAGTTACTCTCAGCAAGCAGCACGCGAAGGTGCTGATGATGCAGAAGAGTCCATGCGCACCAGTCAAACCTCCGACGAGGACGAGAGGGGCAGAAGCCCAGCGATGCTGTTGTTCTTCCTTACTTAGCGGTTAGACCCGGGGGGGGGGGGGGG